ATATCAACCCTATCATGGCCATCAGTACGGCCAAGCCAACATATATCATGGGCATGCTCTGGTCTTGCACAGGCGGCACGTACTTGTTGGCTGTAACTGCCGTGTGCTGCGCTGCTCCTACTTGCTGCTTCAGTTGCAGAATTTCCTCGCGTAGCCGCAGGTTCTCCTGTCGCATCAGGCTTACTTCCTCGCGCAGTTCTTGAATTTTCTGGGTGGCTTTTTGCAGTTCGCCCGTGTCTTCGGAAACGTTGTTTGCCGATGCTAATGACGCTGGCGCCACCTACCAAAATCATCCAGTGAATTTATGCTTAGTCCGGTATAGACATGTATATTATGTAATATGTTTTCAGAAACGATAGAAATAAAGAATTGCCACAGACTAAATACATTTAAGAATCTCTTAAAAGATTATTTAATTGAATATAGCTTTTATAGTGTAGAAGAATATTGTGATATACCTGTATGCCGATAAATCTTATTTTTTCCTATTTGACTGTTTTTTTTAGATATATGTTTTTTAGATTACGTTGAAAATGCATGACTCTTCCTATACAATGTTTTCTGTTGGGAGAAATAAATAAACTGCACATCAAAAAAACCGATTAAACGTGGAGTGCCTCAAGGGGCCGATTCTATTTTAAACTATGTTAATGAGTTACCAAAATGTAATATTAACAAATGCATTCTGTTTGCAGATGACACCACAACAATAGCCGTTAACAAGAATTACCATGAACTTAGACTGTTTAGAGAATCCCAACAATATCATTCTGAGATTCAAAACTCTGTAGCTCCCAATCTTTCGTAATTAGCACTCGTCCACATACTAGCGAATCAATAGGACTGGTCAAGTTCCTCGGTGTTATCGATTCCAATTTGATGTGGGAACCCCATATCACAAAGTCATCGAGTAAGCTTTCCAGAATCACGTATTTAAACAGAAATCTAAATGATTCAGTGTCAAACATATGTATCCTCTCTGGGCACATATACATTGAAGTATTATACTCATTGTCGTAGTACTCGTAGCGCGCGACTTGTCATGTTGTCATGTGTAAGCACATCTGTGTATTTAGCAAGAGTAAATTATTATTATTATGATTATCTTCAATCCAGATACATGCTTTTTGCACATATTTCCCAAGTCTGCGCTATTTCGTACATTTTCCCTTCATTCGATATGCTGACATTTTGTATTTCGCGATATTGTTGGGAATTTCCATATTTTTTTTCTGAAAATGAGCTGGAGTCTCTGAAAGGTCAAGAAACGGAGTTTCAGCAGTATTTCCTTTTTTTGGTCCGCGTCTCTGGCGTCATTGTTGAAGTCATAACTGGGAGTCAAAGTGGAAATTTTCTAGATATTACAGGGAATATTATTTATTGCAGTTCTTTGCATTGCCCTATTTTGTGCATATTAGAAAAAAATATTTTTGTGTCATTCAATTTTTGTTTCTGATACTGAAATACAGTATTCTAAATACTTCTATGTTCAAAATTAGGTTGATTGCTACATCATGAACAAAGAGCATCATCCAATGATCAAGGCTTAGAAAATAATTAAAGTGTAATAAATAACACTTACTTTGAACTCAAATTCTATAAATAATTACCTGAAGTGAAGGTTGCTGCCACTTAGATGCTTTTTATATTCCTTTACTACATATATACAGGGTGTCCGCAAAGTTGGGGTTTTCCTTTACACGACGTGTAGATCTTGAAAACAAGCAATTTTTCTTAGTACCATATACACCAATGTCTTAAGGGAACCGAGATAAAGGGCTCTGCAACATCAAAAATATCGGAATACCGTCCTGTAGCCGCGACATCACGGAGTGGTACAATGTCACTGGCTCAACCCGACGACAGAACTGGGTCGGGGTCAGTGTGTCAGGTCAGTATGCAACCTTCAACCGACGGTTACGGTCACGCCTGTAGAGGTAATCGCGTAGACGAGAATCCCTCAACAAGCACTAGAGACGTGGCTAGAGAAGTGCAAGTATCAAAAACTAAAGTGTGGCAAACGCTGCGTGAAGAGGGGCTGTATCCGTTTCACGTCCAACGTGTACAAGCCCTTCAACCTGACGATTTTCCAGCAAGAGTGCGGTTTTGTGAGTGGTTGTTGCATCAACATGACAATAATCCGGACTTTTTGAAGTGCATATTGGTGACAGACGAATCTACATTCACGCGTAATGGGGTGAATAACTTTCGCAACACTCATGTTTCGTCAGTAGAAAATCCGCACGCTGTCCGTCGGGCACATTTTCAACAAACATTTTCGGTGAATCTTGAGTGAGTACTTTTTCCTTTATTTTTTTTTTACTTGGTCGCCCTCGTTTCACTATTACACATTACCTTTGTTATTTCAAAGGTAGTTGTTTCTGAAAAGGAAAACCCCAACTTTGCGGACACCCTGTATATTTAGTTTTATATACATACATGAGCAACTAACAAGAGGTTCATCTTCATATCCATGAACAAAAATATTTTCAAACAGCATAGTGAAAATTCGAAATATTTAGAAAGTTACTCATTAAAATATTAACATAAGATACTTTGTGATGATAAAAATACTATCATTCTAATAATTTAGATTTGATAGCGAATGCCTATGTACACTTGCTTGAAACTATCTATAAATGTATTTTCCAATCAATGAGACAATATTTTTAGTCGATTTACGCCACTATTAAATGTTTAGAAAATTCCCATACTTATTTTACAAAGTAAAAAAAGTCACTAAAACATCTAAAATTATCGCAACAACATTGAATAATTACACAATTCTACTTCTTAAAATAAAATATGAGTGGTATCTACCATGATATCCAATATTTATTACCTATATTACAATGTAGACTTACTTTACAATCAAATCATATTACTGCAACAGGAGTCATTTACTTCCCAGTATAATCTGATAGATATCATGATGAATTAGTATTTTCAATGGAAAAACATTGATAACATGTAGGTATCAGAAAAACGAATGGATGACAACTTAGGATTAGGCCGATTAGATATTATCAATCATGATTATAAATACATGGCAAAAAGTAAATTCTAAATGCTCACTTATTGAGGTGCAGAGTATTAATAATAATAATAATAATAATAATAATAATAATGTGGATTAAGGTATTAACTCAAAATGTGCAGTACTAACAGCATAAGCACTTCATACAAAATAAAATCATTTTTAACTTGTGGAACATAAATTTGTATATTTTCACACCTAAAAAAGAGGCATGAAATATATTTTCTATGCTGCTAGTTTTTCGGGAACATCTAATGCATTTTTAAGTGAGGTATTTCAATATTCAGTATATTGGTAATAGGGCATGTTTTTCATCATACTTTCTGTCAAATATTGTGAATGTTTGTTCTATATGTGAGATGAACTGTCTCTTAAGGTACTTCTGAAGAAGCATTTATTTTTACCGCAGTATCTAGCTGCAATAGAGTGGGCAGCATCATACAGTAGAATCTTTAGTATGGTTAGGCTACATAAGGTTACTTCCAATTTCCGACTATTAGAGACTGTCAAAAGAAGCTAGATAAGATCATCACCAAACAAACCCCTGCTTATCTGGATAACAAAATTCGTTACAGAACAGATGTCCACACACTCAGCCTGCATTACAGACATTTAGTTATTTTTCTTACAATGTCGCACGGCTGTATAATAAGGTACCGATTTCATACAGGAGTTTGTCTATGAATTTATTTAAAAAACCATGAAGCTGATGACTGCACAATATGAAGCATACAAAATTTAACTAGTTTTTCTGTATACACAACAGTTTTTCATTTCTGTTTTCCTTTAACTCTTTTTGTATCAAGTTTCTTGGATCACAGTAAGGTTTGAACAAATATTGTATTTTTTTTTTCGGTTGAATGGAAGAGCAGATCTTTCTATGTATTTCTTGTGTGCTTATCTTGGCAATAAAAACCATTTATTATTATTATAAAACCTGATGCTATGATGTCGCCTATCTATGTGATGAACTAATCTGTTCCACTGGAAAGGACCATTTGGGATTGTTAGAAATTCATTGTTGGAAAGAACTGATAGCTACACATTTGACATTTCCATTATATTTTCATATATTGCTATCAGACTGTCAAAGAATCAGAATCCTAAATATTTTAGATAAACCTTCATCAGTTTTTTAAGGGCATGGGCAAAAAGAAAATAATAAAAATGTCAGCCGAGTAAGTCTCATACAAACTCCCATACCTATTTCATCTCTCTGGGGACATATTATCAACAATTGTTTTAAATGCTCTCTACATTCGACATGTTATCTTAGCAGTAGCAGCTCTCTTTAAGGGATGAATTTCCAAAAATGTAGAATAACCATAGTTTTTATGTATCTACATATATTGTAAAGTATTTGTACAGTTTAAATGCATCCAATAATAGAAAGCTTTATACAAATTCTAAACCCCTTTTTCACACCCTGGGGTTGAGTTTTCAAAAATCCATTCTCACACTTTATAAAGAACCTATTTGTCCAGTGGTATTGGCTCTGCATAGATTGTCAGTCTGTTAGTATCCTCCTTCATATATAGATTTCACCCCTTCAAGGAATGCATTTCCAAAAATGTTGAAAATCTTATTTTTTACGTTTATTGTAGAGTATTTTGACAGAGTTTCAAATTAATCCATTTAAAGAATAAAAATCTTTATACAAAATCCCACACCCATCCTTGACCTAACCTATGCCTTATTATAGATCTCTTTGCAAAATTTGAAGTTTCTACCTTCAACAGTTTTGCACGTTAATATATCAATCAGTCAGTATCCTCTTTCATATATATATATATAGAAGATTATGTAGACTACCACACTTTTGCAATTTTGGTCAAATCAATTTTTTTTTCTCAGCTTTCCATAAATAACAGACTAAAAAAATTTGTCCATATTTGTAAAATCTAGTATAATACTTAAATTCATCAAACAGGGGATACATCGTTTAAATATGAATAAAACCAGCTTAGTCATCAACACATACCTTAGGACTGGCCTTGGGCTCTTCTGCTGTTGCATTCTGATCCACAACCATTTCAAACACACACTTCAGCTTGGAATCCATCAGTTGATCTGGCTGGATTTCTTTCCAAACCTGATCAACGCTAATGTCCCCTTCGGGGGCAAAGGTACTCTGCACCATGAACTTGTGCTTGTTCTTCTCGGCAGGATCGAACTGAAACGGTTGCAGACATATCGCGATCTGTATGCTGGAGTTGGGGTCGAGTATGCCCGCATTCGGTCTCACGCAGTACTTTTTTGGGGCCGTCGTCTTTATTTTGAACATAACAGTCTTGTCGGAGGGGTTCGTAAGCTTCATATACGATGTAACGGGCACCACGAAAGGCCCCCTGAAACGCAACTCATTCTGCGGCTCTATCTGCAGCACCTGCTCCAGCTTGGACATTCTGGCTAATTATAAGACGAAACACTAGTATATTATACAAATTGTTACCGAAACCTAATTTTTGCAATTTTTTTTGACCTAGTAGTTGTCAACCACAACACATCGAAACGTCATCCTACAAATATAAACGTCATTGAAGTCGAGTGTAGAAATGGGCTATTCTTAAACTGAATGATTCAAAAGAACTAGAACGGACGAATTATTCGAAAATATCGAATTCGATAGTTTTCTAAAAACATTGGAACAGTCAAGCAGTCCAGCCGTACAGCGTTTCATGCTAAATAACAGTAACCAACATGCTATCAAATCTGACAGGTATATGGTTACCGCTATTCAGCATAAAAGCGCTGCATGCTTTAGTATAAGTATATTTATAGTATATATAACAGTTCCAGTGCGAAACAAGCTTTAATTTGAAACATTATATAAAGCGCATGCAAAATCAAGATTTAATAGTAAAGTACAATTAAATCGCATAATTTAAAGTTATGAGTGAAAGTATTTGATCAGTAAACAAGTCATAAAAGTGAGAATCAATCATATTTACTTAGTGTCCTAGAATAACATGCCAATCTCTAGTATGCATATGAAACACAATAAGTTCATGGGCGCCCATGTAGCAAAATGCAAACTGGGCACATTAGGCTTCACAGGCCCAGTCAACCAGTGTGAAGCTGGGTTGCTAGCTGTTTAATGCGGTATAAGAAAAAATGATTTCTATGTAGGTCTGTTTTGAGTAGTAAAAAAGCTCATGCTAAGAAACGGGAGCTCTATTAATATTTTGCTCCTCAAGTACTAACCCTCTGCCCCTCAATTGGAAACCATGCACAAGTTCCTATAAAAATGTGTTATAAGCTCCTAAACGAAGCATATAAAGAAATTTTAACAACTTAGTAACTGGTACACATGATGGTCTTCATAGAACACAACTTGTTATTTAGAAATTTTTAAAATTAATATTTTTAGAAATCCCATCCTTTGAGCTGAAAAAGGTACCCTCCTTTGATATCAATAAAATGAAATGAAATGGCATTACAGTGGTGTAATTGAAAACTGATAATTATGAAAAAAGTGTTTATTATAAAAAATAAATAACAAATGTACATTTAACCTGCAACTATACATATATTTATAAACATTCGAGTATAATGATTGTGAAGGATCATAATCCAATCAGAACATCTTGAAATCAGTGGACTGACAACTAATAACAAAAATTACATTGCTGTTTATAAGAGAAATAATCACACTGTAAAACTGTTTTTTCTACTTTTTCTGGTTTTGAGCTTTATTTTTAAAATACTGAAACCTCACTTTTCCCTTTCCTTTTAGTTTTGTCTCTGAATCCTCTTTACTTGAAGAATGCTCTTCATGCAATGCTGAATAGAATGCTTGCGCATCAGACCCGTTGCCCAAAATATTTGTAAGTATTTCCTAGAACAAAAAAAATTGCATTTGCAGAGCGACTCGCAAATCTTTGGGGACGCTTGACTATAAGTATGTTTCAATATTATTCATTATATTAGTAATAAATACAAAACCAGTTAATAAAATGTACCTTGTCCAGTCTTATAACATCATCCAAACTTTTACATTTTCTCATAAAGTTATCAATGTTTTTAGATGTGATGCCTGGTAATTTTTGCACAAAATCGTAAATGGCAGAATTGTATTTTGTTTCTATAATGTCTATATCTTGCTGGTCTCCGATAGTAGCTGCATATTCAATATTTGGATCTTCTTTTCCCATCTACAAAAGCAGTCAGAATGGGTTGCTATTTAGTAGTTAACAATCGAAAATAATAATAAGAACAATGATTTAATATTAGATTTATTACCTTCAATTCTTGAAACAGCTGAGCTGAAGCGTACGGACTCGGACTCCAAATTAACTTTAACTTCGGAAAATGCAAAGTAAGTAATAACAGCTTCTGTTGGAAATCATAACTTGTACTGTCAGTCGATAGCATGTAATTATTCTACAAAATATAACACACTTTACATTCAAGTTGAAATTACTGGGCTGACGATTAGTGTTTACCTGCCAACCAAACTGCTTATTCTGATCAAATTCTATAAGTAGCATCGGTTTAGAATAATATCTAGACATTTGTGTGCACTGTTGATAAAGGCGTCCACTTTTCAATGACCCAATTAAGTCCGATATGCTTTTTCTTTCCACGCAGATATCTGGCGTCAATATGTAATCTCCTATCTAGAATTAGACGATTCCTTTCATACCAGAAATCTTCAAGATTCAAAAATTTATGTATCTTATAACCCTGGATCGAGAAGTTTCCTATAGTCGAAAATAATGCAAGTTTTACTTCCATATATCTGGTATATTTTACACATCTGAAAGAATTATTCCAATAACTTGAAATTTGAGGAAATTATCACAATTCCTGTATTGGGAGGTCTTCTGAGAACCGATTCCACTACTCTTAAAAAGGTAGACATAATAATTGGTAACGGTTAAATATACTATGCGAAACATTTACGTTTTGACACGCATTAACATTTATAATTAAGCTCACACGCGATCGACGCTACAGTGGTTCAAGTCTTAAAATATAGCCAAAATTAGAAAGATTTACTAAATTTCGATTGAGCTCAAATTCAACTTTTTCTGTTTTCAGGGTCGCTAATAGCAAACTTTGATATCGATTTGAGATAGCGCAAGCGCCATCTATCGCACCAGAATCGAACCATTGTAGATCGCGCACCCTTGCTATTAGTCGGAACCGTCGCAGTTCTCACTTAACAGTCGTACCGCTAAATGGCCGATAATTCTGGCAGAATGCAGAGGGGTCTGCTAGCCATTGAACAGGTCGAAACAAAATGAAATGCCTTCGTCCGTCTGACCAAGAAACAGATGTCCATGGTTGGCTGTCTTCTTTTCTTGGTCGGTCGTACGTTTTGACTTGATATCGATTGTTCAAAAATCGAAATAGCAATCCTAGTATGTCTGCAAAAATGTTTTGAATGCGCTCAAATTAAGTTTCAAGTGTCAAGATCGCTAATAACGAAATAAGTATCGATTCTTAAAAAATCTAAATGGCGGATCCAGTAGGATGGCTATCTTTGCAAACTATTTGTAGATTGCTCGAAAATTATAGCTTGATATGTCTTCAATGTATAATTTATGTATTATTGAATAATGACGTATAATTGTCAAACTTGTAGTCAGCTATATTTCTTAACTGCGTTTCCGATAAACAGATAAGCATGATATTATTCGAAATAGAGCCGACTCTAATGGGCTTTTTAAACACTTTGAATTCACGCCATCACAATAAGACACATTCACAAATATTTATTTATCTTGATCCTTTTTACCATATAGACTAAATAAACAATACCATCAAAATGATATTTACAGCAGCACAATATTTCCGAAAACGGCATTTTTATTGTCCCTTTTCATTAGCCTTCACCACTTCCTTCTAATTCTTATATGTTTTGGCACAAGTAAAAATGTTTTTTTGTACATCTAGATACAATAGAGTTTGTAACTCGACGGTCTGGCCCATGTTTACCCATTTTTAACGCAAATCGTAAATACGGAGCAGAGCGCGGCAGGAGCATCGCTTTGTAGTGGCGATGGTAGCGGTGTTATATGACGTCATCACTAAGTCTCACGCCCCAAAAACATAATAAGGTACTTCTGCGTACCGTAACTTTCGCATTTTTCAAGATATTAAAAACACTTTTTCAGTGCTGCACTTTACTTAGACTTGCATTTTAAAGGTGTTTCAGAAAATAGGAAACTTCCTCTTTATGATATTATTGATGAAAAAGACTAATATCTGCAAATAAAGTGAAATACATACGCTTATAGTCATTGGTTCTATATCAATTCCTCTCTTGTGGATTAAAGGTGGCAATTCACTTCGAAATTCTCGAAGATCAACGATAATAGTTTGCTTCTTCGGAGCTTGATCTTTACCTCCTGCCCTAGTATTTTTTGTAGGGGTTTGGCCATCTCTTTCAAGAGATAAGGAGTAGTCATTCTTACCATCCTGATCTTCAGGTATTACCATGGTCTAAAAAGGTCAGTTTTTAAAATATCTGCTACCAGATTTACAAAAATAAATTGAACACGTACAGCTTTAGTTTGAATAAGGTGCTCAAAGGCATCCTTTTCTCTCCGCAGTGTTGTGAGATAACTTTGTTCTTCCACTGTTTCACCATGTAATAAGAAGTAAACTTTTAGTGGTGGATCCCTCTTCCTGTGAGCTTCATACATCTAAAATTTTATATATCTAAATAATTAGGCAGGAGCAGTTAAAAGTAGAATTTCTGATACAAATACCAAACGTACCTCAATTTCTCTAACTGCTGTCATACTGCAATGATACATGATTATGAACGTTGGCTTCAAATTGTTCAACGCATCTTGCAGATGAATGTAGTCGTCTGTAGATTTGAATGTTTGTATGAGTATTTTCGGTTCTGTCACTGATTGACATATGTGAGTAAGATCCATTTTCTCCATCTAAAAAGTTGTATTTTTCAAATAGCAAAAAGTTTTCTGAGAATGAGTCCTCTTCCGTATTCCGAAAATTACCTGAGTAAAAGGTTCAAACGTGCAATTCAATGACTCTTCCACAGAATCATCTTGGTCTTGGGAAGCAGTTTGGTTCATAGTAAGCACATAACTGCATTGAAATTCTTCATCCTCCTCTGTCGTCTCCTTTTCTTCAGAGCCTTCTTCAGATTTATTACTAGCAACGCTACTATTTGTCTTCAATCTTTTATTTTGGTTTTTTTGTTTTTTGGATTGTATCACCTCCTCTATATTCTCTGGTAATTTACCATATTGGAACGATTTCGCTACTTTACTAATATTCAAGTTATTTCGTAACGCCTTATAGAATAAGTAATACTCAGGGCCATTTGTCAACAGCTGAAAGGAATAACATTACTCTTAATATACACACAAAAATAAATATAAAACATCCCCCGAAACAACGCTGTTAACATTTTTTCAAGGGAAAACATCTAATATTCCTGAGCTATTCTATAATAAAAGTCCGAAGTTTACGGCCAGTTCAAATGAATCAATCGAAGCACGGCGAGTTCCTGAGATTGCCCATCTCTATGTATCTTAGTTGCGCAGTGATGTTTTGTGGCTGCGCAAGCAATTGTCATTTGTTATGTTTCTGTCAATGTCATGTTTAGGTGATTTTTAGGCTATGTTTCTTTGGCAGGGGCTTAAAATTTTGATTGTAGTACTAGAATTTAAAAGATACAAGTTTAGATAGTATAGAACTGTAAGAATTCAGTTATAGGTCTCAGTATAAAGATGTCTGTCAGTGAAGATACTCAACAATTACTAACTGAAATCAAACGTCTTCGTGAAGAGCTAGCTATCAAAGAAAAGCACCTACATGATTTGCAGACAGAGCCCTGTAACTGTAAATACTTAGAAAATAATGATTTTACGACTGACGAAATAATACGATACAGTAGGCAAATGATCATGCCACAAGTACAAATTGATGGGCAAGCACGACTAAAGCGTGGAAAAATTTTAATTATTGGAGCAGGCGGCTTGGGATGTCCTGCAGCTTTATATTTAACAAGTGCTGGGGTAGGAGAAATAACACTTGTAGATTATGATGAAGTCGAATTATCTAATTTGCATAGACAGATCTTACATTCTGAGAATGACATAAACATACCAAAAGTACAATCTGCATCTGATAAACTGAAAAACATTAACAATAATGTAAGAGTCATACCTCTAAAAGTGCATGCAGACAGCAATACATTATCAAGAATTATTCAAGATGACAAATATGATGTGGTGCTAGACTGTAGTGATAATGTTGCAACCAGATACTTGGTTAATGATGTCTGTGTTATGAATGACATACCTTTAGGTAATTTATTTTACACTTATTTACGATAAGGGATATAAATTTTACATTGAATAGTTAATAACATATAACATAATCTGTTTTTTTTTTACTATTTTTAATATATGCACCATGGATCCAGCTTTCATCAGGGTACTGTTTCCTCCAACCTAACAAATAATAACATTTAGCAACAATCTCACATACTACTCTCCTTAAAATGATGGCATAGCTCTTCGAAGTCCTCCTTGCTTTAATCTTGTCGAAGTACCCAACTAAAGGCTTAAGCTTTTCTTACCTAACTGGTTATACAGGGTGCGGCAGAGAGGACGGACGTTTTTGGGATGGGTAGTACTCTCCGCCTCCGTCTACGAGAGAGGTGGGGAGGGTGCCGTTTGACTCGTGAGATCCTAGCATTATTTTACCAGTTGTCGTTATGGAGCCTTGGACGGTGGAGCACCGCGTTTTCGCCTATGATTGTTTCGTCCGAAATAATGAGTCTGTCATCGTCGTACAGCGTGAGTTTCGTCGCCACTTCAACATTCATCGCAATAGAGCTCATCCCTCTCGAAACACCATCCTTCGTTAGGATGGGGCGACCGCCCACACAGCCCGAGCATCCATGGACGTTATTCGCCCTCTTTTCCCTGGTCACCTTATTTCCAGGTTGGGCGATGTTCAATGGGCTCCTCGGTCCCCAGATTTACGCGAACAAACCCCGAAACTCTGGACGAATTGAAGGGCGAAATTCGCATGGAAGTCGCCCAAGTTGAGAGAGCGATGTTGGAGAGAGTCTACGCGAACTTCCAAGAACGCCTCCAGCACTGCATCAACGATTTCGGCCACCACATGCCTGATGTGATTTTCCACACTTGACTGTCCCAAATGCTATTTCCTTGTGAACCTGATTCCATCAATAAATTTGTTTTAGAGTAAAAATGGAACATACAAACATACTAGGTATATATAAGGTGTGGTTCAAATTTTGCTGACGTCGTAATGAGTACCAATTAGAAAGAGTGGGCCGATGGCAACGCGGCAAGCCGCAGCTGCGTCCGTGGCCTCGTCACTCGCGTTGCTGCGCAACGAGGTGCTTCTATCTCTTTTTAACACACGTATTGCACGCTTCTCGCGTTTCTCTCCCGTAAACATTAAAACGGCAGTGGAATGTGGATTTCACTGTAGATACAAATAAAAATACACACTTTCACATTTATAATATTAGTAGGTATAGTATGGATTATTCATATTATTTCAGTCTCTGGGAGTGCCCTACAAATGGAAGGACAGCTGACTGTTTATCACCACAATAGTGGGCCTTGCTACAGATGTTTATTCCCAGTCCCGCCACCACCTCACACAGTCACAAACTGCGGAGATGGGGGGGTTTTAGGACCTATCCCAGGAGTGATAGGGGTTTTGCAAGCACTAGAAGCCCTCAAAATATTGGTTCAACTACCAGATGTATTGTCAGGGAGATTACTACTTTTTGATGGTTCAACTACCACTTTTAGGAACATTAAATTGAGACCAAGAAATGAAAAATGTGAAGTGTGTGGAGTGAATCCAACAATCACAAAACTGATTGATTATGAACAATTTTGTGGCGCAAGTGCTCACGATAAAGTTGTTAACATAGATATAATAACTTTTGCTGAGCAAACAGATGTCAAAGATTTCCCTCAAGATTTACAAAATAATATTGTAATCGATGTCAGGCCAGAATTGGAGTACAAAATGTGTAGCTTGCCAGGCACTTTCAATTTTCCATATTCATTAATAATTAAAGACTGTGATAAAGTGAGAAAGTTTGTAGAGAGTAAAGTACAAGATGGAGTGACAGATATTTATTTTTTATGTAGAAGAGGTAACGATTCTCAAAGAGCAATGTTATATATGAAAGAAAATATTAATTTTGAAGCTGTTCAGTACCATAACATAAAAGGTGGACTGCATGCTTATTCAAAATATATTGATCCAAGTTTTCCAGTATACTAAGATCCAAATTCTATTCTGTTTATAACTTTTTACTTGTTATTTTGTTTGATAGTTTTCTATTTTAGTTTATTATTAAGCTAGTATTATTTAATGATTTGGTGACACTGCATTTTTCAATAAAAATATGCAACCTTATCATTAGTATTATTTCCACTAACCCATAATTTCTAAGTTTTTAAAATGAAGTGTATTGATTATAAATTACTTAATTCCTTTCGTTCCTTTGGTTTGTTTATATTTCATGCTATAATTTAAATATTCTGCTATTGAAAGAGAGTGATTTAATAAAGGTGAACAAAAGTTCAGGAATATGGATCAACTTACCTCTTTCAACTGGTGACACGTACGGTAGTCTGAACATAGAATCAAAATGGTATGCTCACTTGATTTTGATTCTTTAATCTGATGTGGTATTTCAACTTTCAATAGTTCCAATAGTGGTTCCCATTTAGGGCAAGGATCAGGACAGAACTCTACAATGAAAAAGTGAATTACCAAACCATCTAATCACCAAAAGTAATACGAAAATACCTTTGTCTTTATTGTAGATGAAAGAACTTATCTCTGTGAATAAATGTTCTGCAGGTTGAAAAAGAACCCAATTTGCAGTTTGAGCATATTCTAAGCTTCTGCAGTTCATTACTGTACAATAAAATGTAACCGGGTCTGAGTAAAACATTGTCCTAAAATATGAATTTTCAAATATACAGTGCTTTTCAAAAAGCTCCATTCATTTTTTCATCAGGTGAAATTAACAACGCAAAATAAAACGGATCCGAAAAGACAGAAAAAATAAGCGGATTGGAGAAAAAAACGATGCACTTGAGAATGCACTCCCAAACATAAATCACTGGTTTTGAAAGCTAGCAGCTGTTAGTTATTTTGATGTAATGGTAGAGTATCTGCCTTTTAGAGTGAAGGTGTCGAGTTCAATTTCTGCCAGCATCAACTATTTTTTTCTTTTTCCAAGTTTTGTAGCCCGTAAGTGGTATTTTTGCTAATATTTGAAGATATATAAAACATTTGAAACTCATCCTGCGGTTTTCATGTCGATAATCCCCCATGTTTGTCTGTCCAATCAAACCACTTGTATATAAAGTTGCTCTTTATTGTTTATGTTTCGATCCCAACGGTGACCTTCAGTGCAAAAATGGTTATATTTTGAGCCTACACATTTTTGAATTGTGTTGAATCTGTTTAGGATCGATTCCGGATCGGTCCTAATGGCGCTCCATTTTAGGTCGAAATGGAAGGTCGAATTCGCCACAAATTCTGCAATATTGCACATTGGTTCGCTTGGCAACACTGCATCTCGTACATTCCAAGGCAAAGTTTCCACCTCCATGATCATAGATGAGCACACTCACCTTGATGTATAATGGATGCCTGGATGGTAAGGCATATCCAACTTCTTCTTTTGAAAAATACCGTCTGAGTGTGCAATAAAACATGCGAAATTCAGTTTGAGGAGAATGATAGATCTAGACATGTTTTTTTTTTAATGGGATGGCTCAACTTTGTCAGCTTGTAGAGGCAGTCATTTTATATTACAGGGTTATGAAATAGTAGAAAGAAGCTTTAAAATGGGATATCACATGACCTTTTTAAAAAGCACTGTACATAATGTTAGGAGACACTTACACTAATAAATGTCTCAGAGTTTTTAGATCTGATACCATTTGTAAACTCTTTCTACTGAGACGATGCCAAATTATGTCTAATTGTGCCTGTAGTAATTTGTGAAATTTTTTTGTTAGACAATTTTCCACTGTTATCTCCTGAAAAGAATGAGAAAAGGTATCAGACATATAATATACAGTGAATATTGCTGTTTTCTTTACCTGCATTTCTATATTTTTGTTGATTCTTTTCAGTTCTTTAACAGTCAGATTCATTAAATCCAAGATGTGTGTTTGCATCTTCTTCATTTTTTCAGATATTGGAATATTTAATTCAATTACATTAGGCTAAAATAGAAAGTAATTATTTGATCTCAACTTCCATTCTTGAAAGAAACTGACATACCTCAAAATTTTTCAAGCTCTGTACTACAATTGAATGGAATCTGGGCCATAAATACAGATCTTTCACAAATAAAGCTCTCATAACTCTTTCTACATGTCCATATCCTATAGTGAAACTTTGTGCATTATTGGAAAACGCCTTTATAAACCCTGTCTAGAAAAAAACATCAGCACATAAAATTTGATTCCCATAAGTGTATATCCAATAATTACCTTATTATTTTGCCTATATAATCTCAATGCAAAAGCTTCTTGGCAGCTCTCAAGAATTGTGTGTGCTCTTAAAATGACAAATCCTGTAATTTTTTCAATGGGAAGACGTTTTTTCAATAAGTCTACCACTACTATTCTGGTTGTTGCAAAGTTGATTCCTCCCCATAGGTATGATTCTTCTCTAAAATATCAATTCAATAGTAGACAGAATTTTGGAAGTAATTACACAAGTGCTTCAAAATTACCAATAACTTTTAATGACAGCATGTTGTCTAAAAACTGCATGAGTTTATTTTCATATTTTGGGGAAACGAACCCGACCCCGAAAGAACCTCACGCGGTTTTTTACTGACGACATGCTGGAAAATTATTAGGTTTATTTTGACGCCCGAGTGTAATTCAGTAGAATATTTCTCCAGTTGAAAGAATAAAAAGCTTGTGTTAAGTTCGAAATTTCATTTAAATTTACATCAAGTAGGTAGGTACACAAAAATTACGGAAAACTTGACAAATTAAAATGAGACAGAGCTTATCGAAACTACAATGACTTATGGATATTTATGCATGTCTTAGATGACAAATGCACATTTCATCAATCGTAACTATAGATACAGACCTATAGGGAAATTTTCGATAACTTCTGGGCAATTTTCACCGATATTCGCAGAGCGACGAATCTTGTTCATGAAGTAAGAAATGCTCTTCATGAATTCCGAAATGAGCAATGGAACGACTTTCTGGCGGGGATGCTTGACTCAAGCATTCCTCTCTGGAAGGTGGCGAAGTCGCTCAAAAACGGAAAGCGTGAACACATCCCACACATTCACGGTCCTGGAGGCATTGTCTTCAGGACAGAGGAGAAGGTTGAGGTTTTCCCGATGCCATGGAAAGACAGTTCTCTCCCAACTATGATCTTGATAATGACCTCGACGAGGAGCAAAACATCGTAAGATCTGTCTGGAGATATTTTAGGGCCAACGGCGTCAGTGACAGTCGCGCTATCGTTGGTGATTTTTCTTCATCAGAAGATTCTTCTTCAGAAGCTTCTTCAACCGAAGATCTGCTTAGCACATCAGCTGCATCTCCTGAGATCCCGCATTGCACACCAGCAGAGATTCAAGGTCATATTAAAGACCTTACAGTGCGTAAAGCACCTGGGGAGGATCAAATCACTAATAAGGCGCTGAGGCTGCTTTCGCAGAAGTCCTTAACTTATCTCGTGGCAATAGTCAATGCCATGCTAAGGATCCAGTACTTCCCATCCGTGTGGAAGACCGCTGAAGTTATAATGATTCCAAAGAAGGTGGGTTCGATATTTCCCCAGGATTATCGTCCCCAAGGCAGCAGCGGTGGTCGCAGTAGTAGACTCTTCGGTCTCCTGATCAGTCGCCGTGCGCTGTGCGGGTTCGAGTCCCGTCCCAGGAGAAATTTTTCTCTTGGCTATGGATGTTGTGATTGTCCGTAGGTGGTAGACGGTCTCTGACTGTCGAACGTGGAGGTACCACCCGGCGGATCCCGTAGGCGGAGCCAGAATGTGTGCATGTTGCATGCACACGTGTTCCCTCGCCAGAGTCCGTGCGGCGTTCCCCCTTTCCCCTGTATCCCCGTATAGCCCCACGGTACCCAATGGGTGTTTAGGCCTTCGTGGTAGTTAGAGTATAAAAAAAAGACTATTTCCCTCGTCTTAATTTCTACCAATCACAAACGCGCAATTTTGAATTACAAATGGTTTCTAGATGGAATAATTGTATGACAGCACCTGTCAACAGTTTTTTCGAGTTTACCCGCGGCAAAACATGACAGATGTTGTCACCAAAACATATGCATGTATAATAGGTAGTATGTTTTGTAAGCTATGTGAATGCAGAATAATCTGCTGTTACTCGTGAAATAGTCTTGTCAAATACCATTCGGGCAACTAATTTTTTCCCGTGAAACAAATTGAAAATACAATGCAAAGTAAAATTTTTGAACGAAAAACATTCATGCAGGTGCACAAATCCTCGTCTTCGACTCGGATTTTTGTTGCCACCAGCACTCATACTTCTTGTTAAAATATTACTTAGCAACGTGTTCTTTCGATTTTTTTCGGAAAAATTAGATGCCCTTATGGTTTATGAGAATTTCCCATTATCTAGGTAATGGGAAATTTTCGCTGTAATTTTGTGATAATTCACACCTCTATGACATTTTTTATACATAAGGGAAATATTCTCCATAATACTGTATAAGCATTACAAAACTAGTAGAGGAAAGTAGCAAAAAATTGGACCCCAATAATGTAATTGATTAAAAGAATATGAAAAATAGCCAGAAGTTTTTAAAAGCATACAAAGTAAACTTTGAAAGTCATTGAAAAAGTAGGTTCTAAGAATATTACTTCTGATTTGAAAATTTGATGGCAAAACCAGGCCACTAGTAACAAATGTCAGTTATCAACTAAGATTCTATTCTTAAGTAGGAAATCAGAAAATATTTAAACTAGTTACATAGTTTTAACTATTCACATCTTTTCCTATCCCCTCTTCCCCATCTTCTCATGACAAAGTGCATATGTCTCAATGGCTTACACTTCAATGTTGTCATTTTAAAAAAATAAAATTCCCATGTGTCTACTTTATTAAAATTATAAATTATCTTCCCTATCTTTTTTTAAATCCATTCAATTTAATGTATAAGGACTCCATTCCCTCTTGCTCTTTGGAATGAACCTTTTTGAACTTGAAAAGGAAGTTCAAAAAAGGAGTGGATCTTAATGAACCAATCTGGTGAAGATAGGATTTTGCTATTCAAGAAAATACGAGCCCCTTCCCACTTCAGTTGGCCCAACTATTGAAATCTTAGCTTTTTTCTTATCAAACACAAATAATAAAAATGAAGCAGGGTGTTATAGGTTAAAAATATTAACAATGAATATTTTGATAATATATAGCAGAAAACACCAACTTTATCACTCCCTAATCAAATTTGCAGCATAAAAATAACAAATGTTGCAATTACAGCATATCAACCTATTTTCATTTCAATGCAAAATAAGTCTATAACGCATAGGTGGCTGTGAAAAATAAAAGCCATGACAATTGTTTTTATTAATCTGGGAAATCAAACTCAGAAATTGCAACTTTGTTAGACTTATCGCGATACAGTGTGAGAAATATTGTTAGAAAATATAACGTAACTGGTTCAGTTAATATTAAGCCACGATATGTGAAAAAAAGTAATATCACAAATGCCGACCGAAGAGCATCAAGAAGAATAATCGTGAAAAACAGGCGTGCCAATTATTTACAATTAAGTGCTCTGTGGAATGACGCTGTTGGAAGGAGAATTTCGAGGTCCACAACTCATAGAGAGGCCCTCAACCTGGGATTTAGCAGTTGCAAGGTAAGTTTTCTTATAAAAAAAAGTGAAGTAAAAACCCTAAAGTTGCACAACTTGTTGACACCTCAACAATGGTGTGCAATACAATGGAGTGATGAGGCCCGATTCGAAGTTTGTGTTGGTGACAGTCGCAGTAGAGTTATTCGCAAAAAAAATGAAGCATTCCATGTTGACTGTCTGAAGAGAAAAGTGAAATTTCCAGCATCCATTATGGTTTGGGGCAGTATGTCATCAAAAGGAGTAGGAAAACTTCATTTTATTGATGGAAATGTGGATTCAAACAAATATTTGGCAATTTTAGAAGAATCGCTTTTACCAGTGATGGAAGAATGTTTGACATCCGGCCAAGATTTTGTGTTTCAGCAAGATGGTGCAGCATGCCATACCTCAAAAAAGGCTATAAAATGGATGGAAGAAAATAATGTACCACTTTTGAAATGGGTTTCTAGCAGTTCAGAACTGTCACCTATGGAAACTTTGTGGCACGAGATGAAAAAGGTTCTACAACAACATCCTGCTTGTGCAATCACCGAACTTAGACAAAAGCTTCAAGAAATATGGGATTGTTTTACACCAAATTTTTGCCAAAACTTGGTTAACACTATGCCCCAAAGAATTTCAGCCATAATAAAAAATAAAGGTGATGTTACCCAATGGTAATCTTTCAATTGTTGCTTTGTTAACTTCGCACATTGTTTATTTGTTCAGATGTTCTGTTAGTTATAGGTCTAAGTGATTTCAAATATGTATTTTTTACGTCTAGAGTGTATCTAAAATGTTTTTGAGAAAATAAATTGTTTTAGAAGTAAATAGTTTTGTCATGTTTAGTTTATAAAGGCATATTTTGGTACAAATCTTGAAGTGGGCCAACTGAAGTGGAAAGGGGCTCTTATATAGCTATAAAGGCTTAATTGCAGTGCTGTATAAACCCTTTCCCTAAGTACTACCAAATTGTATAATAGTTAACAAATAAGCTACATGTAAGGCAAGCCATGTCTGCTCTCTTCTATATATCATTTTATACCTGGATTTAATATTAGTAAGGTATGTTGTGCTGTGTACACAAACATCATTTAACTTCTTCATCAGATATTTCTCTTCTTTTTCTGTTGCATTTAATACTAGTACAAGATTTGCCGGATCACAGTATACTTTGAGGATATTTAATATCACCAAATCTAAGTTAAGACCTCTAAAATAAACAGAATGAACCTGCTGTGATTTTATATTAATATTAAAACTTTACTTTGCCGCTACAATCAAACCATCGCTTTTTACAATGTCCAAGAACATTTGTGTTTCGAATTCTGTCATAGGAGGATAGTCTGTTTTGGTTACTACGTCTTCCACTTGAGAGCACTGTGATTCACTCATGATGAAAATGCACACACTCGCTCAGCTTTTATTTTAATAATATTGCAATTTGCAGTCCACTGTCGTTTGAATTTGGAAAATTTTATTTATTAAATTGTGAGGTTATGTAGATGTCACCAGAATAGAGATGGGTAAATTCAAGTAATGTTAATTTGTGGCGCTATTTTTAAATCGTCTTCTTAAAGGTGCATTTAAATTAGTGCGAACACGAGCGAACGAACGAATTCGTTCGCTTAGGCTCGCCCAATTTAAATGGCGAACCCAAGAAGACCGAACGATTTCGTTCGTGTTCGGACATGTTCCAGCGCGTGTCGGTAAACTAGCGAATCATCAAAGGATGTTCGCGCTCAATGTAAACGACGTTTCTTGTACTTGCGAACACACGCGAATAAATTCGGCCTACTAAACGTGTACTGTTTAACTACTTTGTGTGTGGTTACGTCTTGCAAAACATGGAATGGACAAATGGTAAAACTTTACAACTCATTGAGTTATATAGAACCAAAGAATGTTTGTGGAATCCAAAATCATCATTTTACAAACTTCTAAATAAGAAAAATGATGCATGGCAAGGAATAGCAACAGAAATGAATTGCAACACCATAGAAGTGAAAAAGAAAATAAACTCTCTGCTTGCCTCATTTCGAAGAGAGAGACAAAAGGAAAGTACAACCAAAACATCAGGAAGTGGAGCTGGAGAACAGTACTACTCAACATGGTTTGCATTTAAGTCTCTGGATTTTTTGAGAGACAAATTTACACCAAAATCTACATTAAATACCGAGGAGGTGAGTGAAATAATACGCATATTCAGATTTTAGTAACGTTTTTATGCTTAAATACATATTTATGAGTAATTTGTTTGCCATGAAAATTGTCCGGATGTTACAAAATACTCCATAAACTCATGCCTAACTTTTTCCGCATTTGCTGAAGATTTTCGAGGTATATTTTTTAATGGAATCAATAATGTTGCTTTTTCGTTTTCTCTGCAGTTGCCGTTATTTACCCGCGTATTAGGTTCGATATCAAAACTTCCTGGTGGAGCGTATATATTTCGCGATGTTTTGCTCCTTCTCAAAAAATTGTGTAGGTATACACAACTTAAAACCACCAATGCCGCGTTGTCTTCTTTCAAAAGTATCGGTTTTCTGAGAACTCTAAAGACAGAAGAGAGGATGCCAAATGCATTTTCCACAACTCTCCGTGCGATTGATAGCCTATAATTAAAGGTTCGTTTAGGTGAGTTGTTTTCGTGTGTTCCACCATATGGTTTTAAAATGTGCTTATGTAGTGCAAATGCATCGTCTGCTACAAACACATAAGGGACGTTTTCTGTCCTTCCAGGTAAAATAGATTCTTCCGGTAATTTTAGAGTTCCTGCATACAATTTTTTACAAAAAGATGTATGAGCAAACACTCCTCCATCTGAGATGCGGCCTTGACAGCCTACATCAGCGAATAAAAAATTGTAATCATAATCCACAAGTGCAAGTAACACAATACTAAAAGTCGACTTATAATTGAAGTAGTCACTTCCACTGTTGGCTGGAGCTTGCAAAATACAGTGTTTTCCGTCAATAGATCCTAAGCAATGCGGAAAATTCCATCGCTTTTCAAAACCTTCAGCAATTTGTAACCATTCCTCTTGATTCTTGGGCATCTAAAAAAAATATTCCACTTAGTAAAATTCACAAGCATTTATTCTATTTTTAGATTCAAGAACGAGATGTTACAGTGAATATCAACGCTGACAATGAAAATGTAGAGGAAGCTATTACAACCCATCAGGAACATAATGCAACATCTATGCCATCCACCAGTGGAGTAAAACAAAATAGAAAGAGAGTCAAAGATAGAAGAATTGACGAAGCCTATGACATAATGAAGCAAACGGTAGCCAAGAAAGCAAATAAAAATAAAAATTATATATTTGGCGAATATGTGGCGACAAAACTGGACACTTATTCAGATCGTTGCAGAAACATTGTTCAACATTTGATAAACAATATTCTGTTTGACGCGGATATGGGACAGTTCGATATAGCCCCCAGCGTATCATCTCAAACACTGAATTTGCAGACGCCATACATGTCACATTCATATTCTCATCAGTCATGCAATACCCAGTCACACCAGCCATTTATTCAAAATTATCTGTCGTCCGTTTCAACGCCACTAACAGGATCATCTGCATCTTTCACTACTACACCACTTGTTTCACCTACTTCAGATAACGTATCATATATATCATCAAATCATACATCACCGGTTCATTATTTTCATTCATGCTCTCAGCCAGCAACAGCAGAAACAGAAAAAGAGCAAACAGACCAATCAAATTTAGCAAATATTCCAAATCAGTTGAAGACATTCTGCAAAAGTTATTCAATTGTCCCAGATTATCGCTTGTAAGGTCTGTAAACATTGTTATTCCTCCTGCAGTGTCTCTTTTTTTCAGTAAATTTGAAGACCATTCCCTCTTTTTTCTTTTTTTCTTCGTCAAACCTGTTGATATTCACTGTAGCATCTCGTTCTTGAATCTAAAAATAGAATAAATGCTTGTGAATTTTACTAAGTGGAATATTTTTTTTAGATGCCCAAGAATCAAGAGGAATGGTTACAAATTGCTGAAGGTTTTGAAAAGCGATGGAATTTTCCGCATTGCTTAGGATCTATTGACGGAAAACACTGTATTTTGCAAGCTCCAGCCAACAGTGGAAGTGACTACTTCAATTATAAGTCGACTTTTAGTATTGTGTTACTTGCACTTGTGGATTATGATTACAATTTTTTATTCGCTGATGTAGGGTGTCAAGGCCGCATCTCAGATGGAGGAGTGTTTTTTTGTAAAAAATTGTATGCAGGAACTGTAAAATTACCGGAAGAATCTATTTTACCTGGAAGGACAGAAAACGTGCCTTATGTGTTTGTAGCAGACGATGCATTTGCACTACATAAGCACATTTTAAAACCATATGGTGGAACACACGAAAACAACTCACCTAAACGAACCTTTAATTATAGGCTATCAAGGGCACGGAGAGTTGTGGAAAATGCATTTGGCATCCTCTCTTCTGTCTTTAGAGTTCTCAGAAAACCGATACTTTTGAAAGAAGACAACGCGGCATTGGTGGTTTTAAGTTGTGCATACCTACACAATTTTTTGAGAAGGAGCAAAACATCGCGAAATACATATATACGCTCCACCAGGAAGTTTTGATATCGAACCTAATACGCGGGTAAATAACGGCAACTGCAGAGAAAACGAAAAAGCAACATCATTGATTCCATTAAAAAATATACCTCGAAAATCTTCAGCAAATGCGGAAAAAGTTAGGCATGAGTTTATGGAGTATTTTGTAACATCCGGACAATCTTCATGGCAAACAAATTACTCATAAATATGTATTTAAGCATAAAAACGTTACTAAAATCTGAATATGCGTATTATTTCACTCACCTCCTCGGTATTTAATGTAGATTTTGGTGTAAATTTGTCTCTCAAAAAATCCAGAGACTTAAATGCAAACCATGTTGAGTAGTACTGTTCTCCAGCTCCACTTCCTGATGTTTTGGTTGTACTTTCCTTTTGTCTCTCTCTTCGAAATGAGGCAAGCAGAGAGTTTATTTTCTTTTTCACTTCTATGGTGTTGCAATTCATTTCTGTTGCTATTCCTTGCCATGCATCATTTTTCTTATTTAGAAGTTTGTAAAATGATGATTTTGGATTCCACAAACATTCTTTGGTTCTATATAACTCAATGAGTTGTAAAGTTTTATCATTTGTCCATTCCATGTTTTGCAAGACGTAACCACACACAAAGTAGTTAAACAGTACACGTTTAGTAGGCCGAATTTATTCGCGTGTGTTCGCAAGTACAAGAAACGTCGTTTACATTGAGCGCGAACATCCTTTGATGATTCGCTAGTTTACCGACACGCGCTGGAACATGTCCGAACACGAACGAAATCGTTCGGTCTTCTTCGGTTCGCCATTTAAATTGGGCGAGCGTAAGCGAACGAATTCGTTCGTTCGCTCGTGTTCGCACTAATTTAAATGCACCTTTTTTTTTTAGATTTAATTCTTATAAACGTTCAAAATTGTGTGACTTTTACGTTCTAGTTCAAACAAGTTAGCATATTCCGTTGTTTTTAGGACTAATGCCGGTGTTGGTAGTTAAGTTACGTTACATTATCTCGGTTTTTTTGAAATTATCTAGGTTTTTTATGACAAGACGTCAACTTAGAACTATCTGTCGTACACTTCATGCTCACTTGTAGCAAGCGCGGGATGTACTATTTGCATACTAGCCTAATTAGTCAACAATCTGACATTAAATCGTTTTTTTTTGACATTATTTAGGTTTTTACTTAATAACACTGCCGTATTACGTAACTTAAAAAGTGACATAGAATTACTTGACATTCACTTAATTCTCACTTGTAGTAGGTGCGGAATAAACTAGCGGCTACTTAGTGCACAACTTGAAATCTTGCCGATTTTATTGACATTACATAGGTTTTTTACGTAATAACCCTGCTGCTCCTAGATTTTACGATATAATCTATGGGGAGTTCGGCACGGGTATCATGTAAAAAACCTATAAAACGTCAAAAAAGCTATAAGATGTCTACTTGCAGACTAGGTAGTTTTTAGGGCGCAAACAGTCATTCCACGTTCGCTCACTAGGATCGTTGTGAACGTCCATCTATGGAGGAATCACTCACTCACTTCGCATTATTGGTTGCATAGTTTTGTGAGGCTGAGTGATCCCTTTCAGAAGTTTTTATCTCTGATAAGAAAGTTGGTTGAATAGCAAGATCGCATTTGGATGATTATGTGTATTGGTCTGCATGTGTATAAGATCAGTGATATTTGCTGTGTGAGAAAATCATCACTGAATATGATGGGTTACAACATATATGTTGTGCTTTCTAAATAGAGGTTATGTTCAAAGTTATAAATTAGGAAAAACTGAGGAGAATTACGGGAAATCATCACTGCGCCCGTGTTGTGTGTAATTACTGTTAGCATATATATGGCTTGTAATTCGACAGTGTACAGTGAATACAATTATTTCTTATCTCTCTCATTTTTGAAATTCAGTAAATTTGTATATGTAATTCTCAGAATGGATAAGAAAAAGAGGATGCGCAACTAATTTCTAGATTTGAGTCTCAATTAAGTGTATTTGAGACAAGAACCCAATTTAATTATCATCAACACATACAACTTACAACCTAGACTTCCAGTAATGCCATCTCAGAAGCAGATCTTACATCACATCAGAGCCAAACATTGATAACAAGCCTCATGACGTTTAGGCAACACGTACAACTAAGTGCTAAGTTAATATCTTGTAGAAAAACCTACATAATGTCAAAAAAGCCACCATAATGTCAAAATGTCAAAAAAGCGGCATAATGTCACTTTTCAAGATTTCAAGATACGTGATACCCGTCCGAAATCATCTCTCATCTCTAGAACTGTCATCTATCGTAAAACTAACCTCACTTTTTGTATTTACCATAACTTCTTTTCTTCAATTTTCAGCGTCCGTTTGTTTATAAAAACATTTGTTACCAAAATATCATAGAAGCCTAATAATAATGGTAGTATTTTTATACTTGTATGTATTCAGTTATTATTACTCTACATGTTTGTTTGCAGTATTCAGTCCTTTTAAAAAAGGAAAATGCACACGACGAAGCTATATGGAGCTGTGCCTGGGGCAGATACAGTAGTGAAAAAAAGAAAAAGAATGAAAATGAAGAAAATCAGGATGAGAAGTCTAGGTAAAGCTTTTCCCACCGATTCCAATATCTTGTGATAAAAAATATGTTTTAGAGATTCCATCATGTCTGATGAGCCTCCAATAGACTACATAGTTACTGGAGGGGTGGATGATCTAGTTAAAGTTTGGGAACTCCAGGATGACCGACTCGTACTTAAACATAAGCTGGAGGGCCATTCCCTGGGTGTAGTCTCGGTTGCAGTAAGCAATAATGGAAAACGTAAATATCTTCATTGGTATTACCAGGTTTTAGAGTGGAATTATTTTTAGTGTGTGCTTCAAGTTCTCTGGATTCCAGTATGAGGTTATGGGACTTGGAAAAGGGAGAAAAAATTACAAATATTGACGTTGGTCCACTGGACCTATGGACAGTTGCATTTAGTCCTGATGATAAGTATATTATTTCTGGTTCTCATGCTGGGTTGATAACAGCATACAGTGTAGAAACTACAAAAGCTGAACACACATTTGGGAGCAGAGGAAAGTTTACATTGAGTATAGCTTATGTAAGTATAAAATAATACAGTAAGGTGAAATGTTAATTAAAAAGTGTCTATTCATTGACTGCTACTGATCCTAATTACTTCCTTCTATTATAGTGTTTGTGATGCTATTCTTTCAGAGTCCAGATGGAAGATACATTGCCAGTGGTGCACTGGATGGTATCATCAACATATTTGATGTGCATTCAAATAAATTGTGGCATGCCTTGGAAGGACATGCCATGCCTATAAGATCTCTTTGCTTTTCTCCAGATTCTCAGCTTCTATTGACTGCCTCAGATGATGGACACATGAAACTTTATGATGTGTAAGTGCAACAAAATTATACTGCTATAATAAAGAGGTATTAGTACTATTTTTACCAATATTAAATTTCTTTTATGAGTTCTATCAAATCTGTGGAGCTTCAAAATGTTATATTGTTTTCTTGGTTTTTTCTTGTACAAAATTAGGATGTTTCATTTGATGTTCAGTTTAATACATGTTTTACTTCCCACATCACACAGTCACAAAGTGCTAGATGGGTGAAAAACTAAAAAAACACAAACAGAGAAGCTTTTGTATGAGTAAAAAAATTGGCAGTTGTCAGGTTGGGGGAGGGTATAAATATTTCCATTTTTTGGCAGTAGCAGATTCATACGTTTTCAACTCTAGTGAGACCTTGACATATTTCATACATTATAGATTTCCCTGTACATTTGTCTGTGAAACTTAGAATAAAGAGGTAGTTCCAACACATGTGTCTCTGGATGTGCTAGTTGTAGCAACATTATCAGATGCAGGTAGGGCATGTTAGACATTTCTAGATCACAGCATTTTGTCAAATGGCTAGAGTCTATGGACTAATTGTATGGGCATGTTTGACACATGTGATCTATCTAATTTTTTCGTTATACATGTTTGTAGCTTTTTACTGGCTACTCCACTGGGCGAAAAATTTAGAAAATGAGATATGTTTTTTGGACGTCATATGACATAAATCAACGAAAAACGATGTCACTCATTTCCGTCAGTCTGTCTGCTAATCCTTGACCCGGCCATAACTTGGGAAGTACCAGTCGGATTTTTTTGAAATTTTCACACAAGGTTGTTACTATGCCAAGGACAAAAAATCAGTGACAGAGAAACTGCCGAAAGAGAAAAAAAAAGAAAAGTCGCTCTAACTTTTTTTTTTAAGATTATTATTATGATTATTTTCAAAATGAAATGTTGTGGGGGTTGTAGGGGGTGGGGGAGAATATATTTTTGTGCATGTAGTATATTTATACGCTCCCAACCCCGGTAATTCTATGCATCTGTTAGCCATAATTCACACATCACAGATTTACCTGTACATTTGCCTTTAAAACTTGATAAGAAATTATAGAGACATTTTTTCGTTCCGCGTAGTCCTGCCTATCTAAGCTTACCGCCTGTCGAACCGGTCCGGTTTATATATCAATCGGTACTGAAGCGCCAAATTCATATACACGGACCTTGCACGAAACAAAAGATAACTCGTTGCAGCAAGCAAGGGGCAACGTTGCCACATGGACGGTAACTACTAGTACCAAAGGGAAAAATGTTTATGGACTAATTGCATAGGCCTGTTTGACTGACTTGTTATGTTTGATTCCTCTGATTTATATTTTCCTAGCTGAAGATTCAAATCGCGCTGAACCCAATCCTTTATGAACAGATGACACTTGACGCCGTTTTGTGACGAACATAATCCTTGATCAAAGGATAACATCATTTCGTGGCAAGTGTTGAGTCAACCTACTTGACGTCATCTTTTTCTTTTCAGGCAACATACAACAAATGTCGTATGGGCATTATCAGGCCATGCATCTTGGGTACTCAGTGTAGCTTTCTCACCAGATGGAAAATATTTTGCTTCTGGCAGCTCTGATAAAACTGTAAAGGTGTGGGATGTTGCTTCAAAACAGTGTATACATACCTTCAAGGAACATAATGACCAGGTAACTAATGCATTCACAAAATGAGATGAGACTCTTTACAAAATCCTCCCTTATTTTATGTTTTACACTTAAGTATTATGTAAGCTAATATCTGAAACTGTCTAATATTTATGTATTGATAATAATACTCAGTTTCCTTGCAGGTTTGGGGTGTCAAGTACAGTCCAGATGGCAGCAAAATAATGTCTGTATCTGAAGACAGGAGTATCAATATTTACAGTTGCCCACCATAGTATTAAGTTTATATTTATGTGACAATAAAGTGATTTTTGTAACATTTCTTTTTAAGTACAAACAAAAAAGTGTCTGAGAGTTCACCCTCTCCCGTCGATCAATTTTTCTTAGCGACAAAGGATCCCGTCAGCTGATGGCCCCGCACGGGTATTATGTAAGGAACCTATAAAACATCAAAAAGAACATGAAATGTCATCTTGCAGGCCAGGTAATTTTTAGGGTGCGAACAGTCACTCCACGTTTGCTCATTAGGATCGTTGAGAGCGTCCATCTATGGAGAAATGACTCAACTACACGCATTGTTTGTTGCATATGTTTTGTGAAGCCCAGTAGTCTGTAATTGTCATCTCCGAGAAGAAAGTTGGTTGAATAGCAAGCTCACATCTGGATGATTATGTGTATTGGTCTGCATGTGTATAAAATCGGTGATATTTGCTGTGTGAGAAAATTATTACTGAATATGCTGCCAATGCAGTATGTATATAAATTAGCTGTGCCGGACGGGTTATGTATAAGCCTTATTTCACGAGTATCCATCACGCTTTGAGGTGAACAGCTGATCACAAAAGCGACATCTTTGTGTTAATTTGTAACGTTGGCAATAATGAATTTCGGGACCGTATTCAGAGCTGTTGTTCATATATCTGGATTATATTTTTAACTGGATGGGAAATGTGACAATAAAATGTACAAGTACAGATATAGAAAAGTTTATTAGAAAATTATTATAAAGGATTTTTTCGCGAATCCACGGTGTAGCACAGTGCGCTACTGGTAACCGATACTCAAATTTTCGCGAAGAACGGGAATAGGGGAAGACGGATGTGACGTCGTCCGAATGTCAAAAAATCACGTGGTACGGGTACCCGCCTAACGTCTGTGAGGTAACAGGTCTTATGTCAATGTGATTTAAAAAACAGGCATCTCAATTGAAAATTTGTCTTCGCAGTGCTGAAAATTTAGTTAAATTATTAAATCATAAATGGAGGATCACGTCCACCTGATTTTAAATGACGAGGGAGAAGGTCATCGAAGATATATGAACCGCTCTTGGCATATCAAATGATTGATTTTATTGATATATATGTATATTGCACAAAAAACGAACGGTCTTTTTATTGCAGATTCAAACAAGGCAGCTAAGTTTATCAAGGAGCTTAAAGCAAACACCTTGTGCAAAATGCGTCATCTAACCACTCCCAGTGTAACTTGAAACTGACAAAACTTCGAGAGGAAGGGGAAATTCCATCTGTTCCCGCTCCCGTTCACTGCGGGATCTCGCGAAAAAATCTATAGTAGATCTGGGATTTATTCATTACGTGGTATGTCAATAGAACAGGTTGCGTAGACCTTCTCAGAAAATGTAAATTTAGCTGTAAACATAATATAGACACGTGTTTCTGGTTTATTTTTCGTCATCAGTGTAACGTAATACATCAAAAGCACATAACTAATCACGTCAAAACTAATACATTCCACCTAATATTACGAAAACGACCCACCACCATTAAATATTATTGGGATACATCAAATGCATCATACCACTCAAATAGCAAAATAAAAATAAAATATATGTGACCTGTGCCGATATGGGGAATTTTGAAATATTACTAGATAACTAGCTGTCATTGTTCCGTGATGGATACTCGTGAAATAGGGTGTACCTATGTTGTTCTTTCTGAGGGCAGGTTATGTTCAAATTTATAAAATTGTGTTTTCAAAAACTTTGAGGAGCACTACGAGAATTCGCCATCGCGCCCGCGTTGTCTGCAATTAAGCCACAACACAGAAACATTAGTAATGACGCACCACACGTCAAACATTTTCGCAATGCCTCACATATCTAGGTGCTGATTTGTATTTTCTATTGACACGGCTAAATAAATAGATATCTATAAAATTTAAATGACTGGAAATAAAAAATAATGTAATAATAACCTTTCACTCTCATAAATATTCCTGTCTGTAGCATATTTTCTCTCCTGTTCCTTCACCAAACAGGGATTGTCTTTTCTTATCTCTATCATTTATGAAATTCTGCAAATTTGAATGTGTAATTCCCAGAATGAGTAAGTGGATGCGCAGCTAATTTCTAGCTTTGAATCTGAAGTAAGTGAATCTGAGACAAGAATCCAGTGGAATTATCATCAACACATATTAGCACACACATCCTTACTATGCACCTATGCATTGCCGTTTCCTTCTAGCTACATCACAGAGCTATAACAACTTACAGCTTAGACCTCTAGTAAACCTATCTATGCGTGTTGCCTATCCATAACGTCTAGGCAACAAGTACAACTACGAAACGAGTTCACAAGTGTCCATCAGCTAGTGCCAAGTTAACATCTTGAAGAAAAACCTACATAAAATGTCACGAAAAACCAATACGTCAAAAAAAAAAAATCGACATAATGTCACTTTTCAAGATACGTGCCGAGCTCCTACGTGCCCAGGGGCCCCTACGTGGCATGAGACGCCCCTGGGAATATGGCAGACAGTGATTTTTATGTGTTTTTATTCTTTATTCCTTATTCCGTTAGGTAAATCCCATTTTTGTTGTTGTTAACTTTTAAGTATAATTTTTTACGACCGTATCAAAATGCGTCTCAGTAAATCAATCACTGTCTATTATTAAATATCGGTGTATCAGTGCACCAAAAAGAAGTGAATAAATCAATTTGTTTTGTGCTATTAAAGAACTACGTAAAAATAAAAAAGCTATAAAATCATTTTCCGCCGCTAGAGATAACCAAAATAAAAAGCTAGGCAAGCCTTAAGTAAGTGGATGCACATAAAGAGGCCAATGACATACCTAGTATCTCAAAAAGATTTGTGCCCATATACGCTAGATTCACCAGGAATAGATCATTCAAAATTGGCGAATTGTATACAGGGTATTTTCAAAGCTGAGTCATTTATTTTAACAGCTTGTAGAACTCGTCAAAAAAGGTTGATATACCAAAAATCACATAAAAGTTGCATAATAAGAGAGTTTACATTATTAAAAATTATTTAAAAAAATTATCAAGGATACCGTTTTTACGAAAAATGTTCAAAATTGTCCCTATTTGTTCGATTGACGCAGTAATTCTACGCACATCATATTAGGCATATTTCACTCATCAGAGTACATTTACCCTTAAAACTCCCAAAAGTCAGGTGCGAAACGTCCGACGTGGTCCCCCAAAGGACAAGCGGCGTCGTCAGTCGGCAATCGCTTTCATTCTATGTTGATATTGTTCTTATATAATGGAGTAAATAAATGTCGACTACGACTACTACTTCTGTGTGCACTGTGCAAGGGTGTAGGCCAATATCGTCATTCATGCTGGGTTGGTCATCGCAACGACCATGTGGGCCTGCAGGAATTCCTGCAAAAGTTCAAGGTCCTAGATCGAACGTTGAACGTTTCGGTCTGGAGACGCGCTAAAAGTTGCAGGTCCAGGAAAGGAATGAATTTTGGTGATTTGGCAACTTCTCAATTTTTTCGCTATATAAGTTTTTCTGTCCCTAAAAAGCATTAGCCTCCACAGTAAGTGACTATTCCGAAGTAAAATTGTCCAAGGAACTCAAAAATGGGTATAAACTATAGGACCGCTTTAGAGGCCCGGGTATAGAATTCAACTTATAAGTACAAGTATAAGGCGATACGTTGATTCCTTTTTTACGAAAAAAATATGTATATAATACTTTAGGTAATTTTTTTGCTTGAAGAGACTTTATTTCGAATAAATCACTTTTGACTGAAATATCTGGTCAGCGAATTAACAGATCGCAATTTGGAGGTGATTTTCCGAATACCTCAGATAGTGTAATATATTGCAGGACCTAATGTTTTCCAGGGATAGGAATAGCGAGAAAATGGAAAATTTGTCAAAACGCATAATTCGCACTTTTCCGAATCTCCAAACTTTGAGCGCGACTCCAGACTGAAGCGTTCGACTTACGGCCCTGAAATATACAGGGTGGTCCATAAGTCCTTTGAAATTTCAAATTTGAATAAAATTTAACGGGTGAGCGTGAGCGGCGCGGGCGAGGTGGGGGCAGTATCTTCAGTGTCTGGGAATTCAGTCCCCATGGAGTGTTTCACTGGAGCGGATCGTGCTTTTTGTGTGCGCGCGTTTTATCAAAATAATGATTCGGCTACCATTGCGCGGTGTAAATATCGAGAATACCACAATTTTACAAAGTGTCCAACAGTTCAAACGATTAAGAACTGGGTTGATAAGTTCGAAGAGACTGGTTCGACGTTAGATAAACAGCGGTGGGGTCGACCAAGGACAACTCGTATTGAAGAAAACATCAACATTGTGGCATAGTCTGTTCGTCAAAATCCTACCCAGTCTACTCGTAAGCGTTCCAGTGCACTAAACGTACCCAGAACATCTTTACAGCGGATTTTAAGGAAAGATTTACGTCTGCACGCTTACAAAATTCAGCTAGTGCAGGAATTAAAAGATAATGACGCTATTCAGAGACTAAACTTTGCGAATGAAATGTTGAATCGATTTTCTTCGCTCAATAATGTGTTGTTCTCGGACGAGGCTCACTTCCATTTAAACGGGCATGTAAATAAACAAAATTGCCGTTATTGGAGCCCCGAAAATCCAAGGCGTAAGCATCAGAAGCCCTTACACAGCCCTAAAGTTACAGTTTGGGCTGCTATGTCAGCGCATGGCATCGTAGGCCCTTATTTTTTTGAGGACGACAGAGGTCGCGCATTAACTGTTACTTCGGAGCGGTATGTAGCAATGATAGAAGAGTTTTTGACACCAGCGTTGCAGAATTTTCCAGGCCATAATACGCAGACCTGGTTTCAACAGGACGGAGCAACTGCCCACACCTCCAACACTTCTATGCCCGTCGTCTGTCAACTTTTTCCCAGCAAAGTAATTTCTCGAAGAGGAGACATTTCCTGGCCACCACGTAGTCCAGATTTGACCCCAATGGACTTCTTTTTATGGGGCTACCTCAAGAGTAAAGTGTACGACACCACTCCGCGATCAGTTGATGTCCTGAAAGAAAATATCCGAAGAGAAATGGCAAGCATTACAGTGTTGACTTG